GATTTGCACTTTTGAAATGTTGCTCTGGGGGATTCAGGTCAAGATGGCAGTACTCAAATTCTCCCACAACCACATAAAAATTAAAATAAATACGGAACAATCTTGGTTTAGAACCACCTGAAACGTAGCTGAACAGAAGGCCTACAGCTAAGGATATAAAGCAGCAGCCATGTCTACATAGGTAGGAGACACAGAGAGGCTGGTCCCACTCCCACATATGGTGGATAGAAATTGGGAGGGATATCTTGGATGCAGAGGTCTTCCCTGAGAAGTGAAGGGTCCCAGCCCCCACACCAGGACCCCAAGCCCAGGGTTCCGGTGCCAGGAAGAAAAGCCCCCCTAACTTCTGGATATAAAAACCATTTTGGATTGTGGTTGAGTGAGATGGAATTTGAGGTGTTCCCTTTTTTTTTTTCCCTTTAATTGATTTGAGAGAAACATTAATTGCTGTTCCACTTTGTTGTTCCTCTTTATTTATGCATTCATTGGTTGCTTTTTATATGTGCCCTGACCAAGGGTTGAACCCGCAACCTTGGCATATTGAGACATTAACCAACTAAGCTACCCAGCCAGAGCCCCAGGTGTTCCTCCTAAAAGGCCCATGTACAGACTAACTCAGACTCACTCACTCGGAGTTCCAGTGCTGGGGCACCAGGTACATCTGGGGAGGGATTAAGTTGTTTGGCATCAAGGTGAGAGCTGGAGAGACAGCTTTCTCCCAGACAGAAGTGCTGGCAGAGGCCATCGCTTCTTTTTTGGGCCCTCCCACCATAGAGCTGGCAGGCAGGGGCTATGTCTGAGACCATCAACCTGGCTTTCACTGTTTGCCCCACCCTGGTGATTCCGAGACCCCACTCCACCCAACTTGCAGGCTGGCACAGCCCTTATCAGTGACTTTCTGTGCAAACTGCCTGTCTAGGCTCATGCTTCAGACTTTCCTAATGTTCATTGATTGTCTCAAACGTAGCGCTCTGATGCAGGATATTGATAGTGGGGAAGGCTGTACATGCATGGGAGCAGGGGGCACATGGAAAAAATCTCTGTAGCTTCTGCTCAATTTTGCTATGAACTTAAAACTATGTAAAAAAAAAGTCTGTTTTTAAAAAAGGAAAAGGCTACCCCTGGCAATGGTTAGATTCTGCACTCTATCATGTTTTCTTGCTAAAAATACATAAGGCTTTTACCCACTCCCAGGGTATTTCTAGTCACTCCATTTGTTGGGTAGAGTTTGTGTCTCATTCACTCTCCCCTAGCCTGGAGATAATCACCTCCAAGTCCCGATATTGTCATTTTCCAGGCCTATCAGATTGGGGTTTGCTAGCGTAACTCTCCTATTGTGACTCCAGCAAGCTTGGATTGTGGTGGCTAATGTTTATGTTTTCTACAGGAACCTTCTTTTCCTTTTTCATACTTCTTCCCTATTCCCGGTGAGATGAATCCTACCCTCTCCCCCACCACCTGTCTGTCCACAGTGAGCTTGGTTCTCCTCTCAACCTTTCCCGCAGAAATAATGTTTCATTTTGTTAAGAGGCCATCAGTTAATATCTGAAACAGATAGTCCTTCCAAAGCAAGAAAGAGTTGTTTGTAAGCCAGTGGTTCTCAAACGTTAACATCCCTCAGAATCACCTGGAGGGCTTGCTGAAACAGGTGCTGGGCTCTCACCTTCAGAGTTTCCTATTCAGTAAGTCTAAGGTGGAGCCTGCGAATGTGCATTTCTAACAATCATGTTGATATCATACGTTGAGATTCACTGTTAGAAGGGTTAGTCTCTATGAACAAAGCAAAAAAAAAAAAAAAAAAAAAAAGATTTTACATATAGTTCTGGATGGATTTCAGGGATTGGAGGAGTTTGAGATTATCAAATTCCCCTAAAGTGAAAGATGCGTGATCACTGTTATTGACTGACTTTTCAAAGCATTGAGCTATCACTTTCAGACATATGCACTGATGTAAGGCTGTCATTGGTTAATTGGTATGGTTTTTAGTTTTGTGCTTATCTGTGTGGATTAGATCAAAGTGACAGTCTTCTTTTCCTGAATCTGCAGCAAAGAACATTTTATTCTTACATTTATGAGCATATGCTCATATTGCTCCTCCCTTTTCAGAAGCAGGACTATCCAGATTTTCCCAGAGGAAGTGCATCAAAATTTGTTTTGAGAGGAGGGTATCACCAACTGAATGTCATTAGAAATGCAGGGGTATTGGAAGTTATAACTCATTGGCATTAGCCATCCACTGAGGGTCTCATCATTCAGTAAAATCTATCAGGGCTGAATTATTTAGATTCTCTTGTTTTTTTCCCTTATTAGCTCAGATTTGGACACTCTATGCCACAGGCTCCAGGAAATAAAGGGGATGGATGGAAGATCAATGCCTTTTTCCTTATTAGATTTCTCCATATCACAGTAAAGTATATACTAAATCACTGGAGAGTCCTATGGGTTCTTTGGGAGAAGGTCAGTTGCAGCACTGTATCCACCCTTTGGGAAACTTTGGAGGTGGAAGATGGTCTTAAGTATGTTGAGAACAGTAGCCATAACCGTAAGAAAGCAGCCATTTCCAGTAAGGAATACTGTATAGACCAAGAGGACAATAACAAGTAGGTACAATTCACTTTGTTTACTAATTGTACACAGTTTTATGTACAGTACTTTGTGCAAATTATTGTAGAATATCACAAAAAGAGAAAAATTGTAACACTGATGAGGAAAGAAAATATAAAAGAGGTTTCAAAAGGAGCCACTGTTTTGTTGCTTTTGTTTTTAAGCAGAGGTATTCAGAGAGTCCCTGTGTAGCTCAGTCAGGCACATAGCTAGGATTTCCCTGAGAATGTGAAGGCTTTCTCCAAGCCCGTTTTGAGCACAGAGTCTCTGATCTGAATCCAAATTGTGCAGCTCTGATTGGACAGGGTAGATCTCAGTCCATTGGTAGAAAGATAAAACCAGTGTTTCTCTGAGGTGGTTGACTCGACTGTGTAGACAAATGAGGAATAGCGTGGGAAGCCGAGTTAATATGAAGTTCTTCACTGTGGAGTGTGTGCTGAGCCCGTCAATAAATGGCTGCTAGATTTTTTTAAATAAAATTTGGGCCCTTAGTGGACCAAGGGGAATCCATCTCAGGAGATAAATTCCTTGTCAGAGTTGACTTCAAATTGGTCTTTCTTTTCAGAGTCCTTATCTGTCTAGTAAGAACTCCTTTCTTCCCCAAAGGGAAGTTGTCCTTGTCTGAAATAATCTCCCCCTTTAATTTTTTAGTTTCCTGCTAATTAACTCTTTCTTAGTCTGACCCTCTTCCAGCCTACAAATACCTTCTCTTTTGTACAACTCATCAAGCCACCTTCTAGTTGTCAGAGAGATAGTGCCCGATTCGTGAATCCCTTAGAAAAGTTAATTGGATCTTCAAATTTACTCACTTGAATTTTAACTTTAAACATGTAGTTTAATGTGTTAATTTTATCTACCCGAAACTGTTAATAGAATAAAACCTTATCGAATTTGGATGTATATCAGAAAAAAATCATGATGTTTAGCTGCTTAAGTCCTGTAGTGTTGCAGAACTCAGATTGAGGTCAATTCCTAACCTTCATCTATACAAAATTAGTAAATTCATATACGTGTCATTTTTCAAGGTAGTTATCCCTCATCTTATTCTTGACTAGCACTGGTTGAGCGTCCTACAACTTAATTCAATTCGGACACTATCTACTTAGAGCATCAGATCCCACAGGTTAAAAGCTCAGCCCACAAAACTACACCCCTGCTCCCCCACTTGAGATACCAATCAAAAGTCCAGATCTTCCCCCTCACTTCTGACTGGCCACAAATAAAGTTCCAAAAATCCCCTTCTCAAATTTGATTACCTTGCTAGAGTGGCTCACAGAACCAAAACATTTACATTTACCTATGTATTATAAAGAATTAATATAAAGGTAAAAAGACACAGAACAGCCAGATGAAAAGGCACGTACGTTGAGGTCTGGGAGGGTCCCCGTGGAACTGGAGTACACTACTCAAGGCATATGGATGTGTTCACCTCCCTGGACGCTTGTCAAATCTTGTTGAAGAGTTTTCTTAGGACCTAATCAGCAGCACCCCCTCCCTCACACCTTCCCCATCCCAGAGGTTGGTAGGTGTGACTGAAGTTCCAATCCTTCTAATAACTTGATCTTTCTGGTGACCAGAGTACAAACTAAATATACTTTCTATTATACTACACATACCCACGTGGACTGGCTTCCTACTACCCAGGGATTCTCATTGTCTAGTAAATGTATCTTCTGCTGGTACATTTGTTTGGATCACAGAGAGTAAATGATCCAACGCAGGCAAATGAACAATTTCCCTGGGGAAAATGGAACTGTAGCTATGAACCTGACTTCTCCCTTGTACAAAGACAAAACTGCAGGAGCTAATAGATTATCACTTTATCTGCAATGTGGACGAGGAGACAGAAAAATCCACTCTAGTGAAGGACTGAGAAAGGGGAGATGGGCCGAAAAGCAGTAACTCCTGGTTTCTCCTCTGTGCTCCTGGGTCGCTGGTCCCATCCTATTCTGGAAATCCAGTTGTATGCTGACCGTGGGTTCTGTGAGCACGCACTTCACCTTTCTAATAAAATTCCGCTGTCTTTGTTAGATGATATGGGTTTCTATCACTTGCAATGAAAAAGACTGTTAAAACAAATTTTATCTTTAAAAGAAAACACTGGGTTCACATCATACTGGAAAAGTAATTATTTATTATGACAAAAATAAAACTGTTGACTGAAAACAAATAAATGTTACACTGTATTGCACCATGATTGCAAATGAGCCAAAACTTGCCTAAAAGATGAACACTCCAGAGCAAACAGCATCCTTTTACTTGGGTATGTAGACATGCAAGCAACTCATTATAATGTAATTGCAGAAATAAACAATAATGAGTAGCAGCAAGCTAAACTTAACATATAAAAGAAGCATTTTATGACAGTAATGAAGCTATTAAACATTTAAAACCCAACATTAGAAGAACATGCTTTGAACCATTTTCAAGTGATGATGTAAATGTATTAAGTAATTTGTTTCCTTTAAAAAAAAAATAATGCTTATATAACTGACCGATAGCACACATTTCAGTTGCTTGGTTGAGGTTAAGAAGCATAGTTTGTGGCGTGAAAAACATTTTCCCCTCTCTGTAAAACCAAGGTACCGACAGAGATCCCATTCATAATTTTGGTCTTATTTACACCATCTCCTACTTGACCAACCTTATTAGCTAAAATATCGTTACAGCTTTTGCAGAAAGCCTGAGGCTTAAAGAATAACAACAGTTTGAATTAAACCTTAAAATCTGAACATAAATATAAATACAGACATTTTAAGGTAGTTTTACGTTCTGAAGAAGTGTATCACACAGGGCCTGCTGTTTCCTCTTTAATGCTCTAAAGCACCAATTTATTTTAAGACGGCAACATGATTATATTCATTATATTCTGATTAGAATAAGTGCAAGAGCAAGGCTGCTTTTTATTTTTTTTTTCTTTTTAAACCATGTTCTGTGCAATAGGTGAAAAGGGTAAAATTTTTAACTATTACATAATTGGAAAAATATAACCATTTTATTTCACACTCTTAATGAAATAGTAGCTAAACTTTTAAAAAAAATCAAAGTTAAATATTTTGTAACTACACTGAACAGTTTACTCCAAGAGAACAAAATAGTCTGTAGAGTCCCTGAATGTCCTAAGGGATAGATAATGTTCGAAGATAGGATTAAAGTCTCGTATGGATAGGGACAAAATATCCCTAATATTTCTATTAGTACAGAAATTATATGTAACCAAGATGAACTGATAGTCATTTGATCTCTTACCAACACTGATGGAAATATATTCACAGTATAATATAATCAATCAGATTTTAGGGTTTTCCTTTCCCTTATTTGATATTAACTAAACTAACCGAATATTGACTGAGCACCTGCCCTTTTACTTTAATGAAGACAATATTCGGACCTGCTACACCAGGCTAGCCCTGCTGGTGGTTAACAAGAATGAAACAAAGTCTCCAAGGAATACTATCCCTTAGTTGTGAATCTTGCATATTTCAAATAGAGTTTGAATGAAGGGGTATTTATAGGATACTGTAACATCCCACAAACTTGAGCAAAGCACCTTATGGATTGAAAAATGAGGTAATTTTTAAATTAAAATTGTACAGTTTGTGCAAGAGAACATTTCTTCTAGAACTCTGTTTTCTAAAGGTATGCATGGTACACTTTATTATTTCTCTACTTCTGAGAGAAAAGGTAGATTACTCATTTTTAAAAATGCAAAAGAGGCCGCTATGTGACTATACTCCCAAACGCTTAAAACCTGACTAGTCTTCAATCCTTTGGTCACATCCTAAGTACTACAGCAAGACTGTGCTTTCTAGTGCCTAATTTTAAGGACCTAAAAGGAGGGGAATTTACTATTGTCATTCAAATTTCCTATGACTTAATGTACTTTTGAAGATTTTTCTACCCATGTTTATTTTTACTATCAAAGGGTTTTGACTTTTGATTCTAGGTAAGCATCTATACCTCTCTAAATTAACATTTCCCAAACATTTTACCAAACTATATACATTTAAAGCTGATTTTAGGCCTTCTGACCACAATAATATTTCCACCTTAAATATAAAATAAAGTAGCTGAAATTATCTTTTTTTATTGGCCTTCTCTATCTCGGTTTGGACACCTGGAACTCTTAGAAAATACTTCTTGGGAACCTGACTTTTGGATTTCAGTTTTCACAGTAATAGTAAATGAATAATAATAAGACATTACCAAGGGAAAAAAAAAGAAAATAAAATGAAACAAAAAACTAACTTTAAATACAAGCCACTCTCAGATTTATATAGATGTTTGTGAAATAACTGACGTTCTGGCTGCACTATGCTTTCAATGCCAGAAAGTCCCACAGAACTACGGTTTCAGATGGCATAAAGCCAATAAACTCTGAACAAATTAATCCCTTCGAGTCAGTGAAAGCTGAGAAAATAAGCAAGGTATTCTCTGGTGTTTTATAAGCGGCTTACTATCATGCTCTTAGAAATATGGCTTATTTTTTCTTTTGCATTGTCATTAGCTAGTAGCTCAACTTAAACTGAGTAGCAGTTACTAGTTGATAACATTGTTTTCTTATTTGATTGTATTAATATACTAAATGAAATGATAAAGAGGTGGGAATCAAATAATACAGAAAACGAATTTAATTTCACATTACATGTCTTTTTGTTTTTCAATTTTAATATAGCATGTGAAGAGTGAAGATTTTAAAGCTAAAAGTTATGGTGGAATCCTAGCTTAAGTTCCTCAGAATGAAAATCAACAGAAAGGCCATGAACAGTAATTGTCTAAAATCAACTAGAAAAGTAATGGTCAAATCGTCTCAAATCCACTTTTTTAGATAGCCAGAAAAATATTCTACCAGAAACAAGTAACCATGCTGTATCTTTTTGTTTTTCTTTTTCCCTTTTCTATGCTATGCTGTATCTTGAAATGACTTTACTCTGACAAAATATAAAGGATCCTTTAGAATTGAAGTGGATGTGAAATGTTTTGGATGCAAAGCCATAGATGAAAAGTTACAACTCATGGAGTTAGTCTTCAAACATAAATGTCCATGGAATATATTCATCTACAGGCATAACAGCATGTTTTTTCAACTGATATGGTTTTACATAGTTAAGAATTACATGAGTGGTAATCAGAAACAATTCCATTTCTAATTTATCCTAAGATACTACACCAAAAATTGTTTAATATTTTATTTTCTTTGCAATTTTCTTTGCTTTGTGTTTCCCTCAAATACCTCAGAGAATATTGTTTACATTGCTGCCTATATTAGTCACTGTTTCCATAGGAAAAAATATATATATATTTCCTCTTTATGTTATAGATAATGAAAATTAACTTATGCTTAATCAAAATGACTATGGGTATAGAGGTGGTGCACAAACTAACAATAAAACTTGAATTTATTTTCTTCCAATGAAAATATAATAAAATTATACCTTTAAGCATTCTAACACAGGACCTAAAAGCAAAAATTATTTATTTAATCAATTTTTCAATAGAATATAGATATATATTATTTCAGATTTTAAGAAATTAAGTTACACTATACAAAATGTGCAGTATATCCCCATATAAAAGGGCCTGTTAATTCTAAAAGAGTTCTCAAATGGGCTCTATAAAGATGGGTTTAAATATGAACGCAACTTTTTTAAAATTAAGAAAAGTGCCAATTTTGAGCTTAAACACACAGCAATTACATTTTAGTTGAAACATATTTAAAAGGTAAATTTTAGTTTCCTTATACTCAAATTAAAAACAAAATGTAGAATAATCTCTCTAAACTAATGTGGGTGGATCTCTTGCTTTCCACTACTTACTAGAAACTTTGCTATGCAGTTGAGGGTTGATGGGTAGGGCAAAACCTATATTATATCATTGATAATTAGCTGCTAATTTGACTTCTAAAGAAAAGGTATAATACAAAATTGAGAACTCATATCAAAATATGAATAAAGGCACTAATCACAATTTACATTTTCATCAGACAAGATAAGTGGTTGAGTTACAATGCATGTGAGACTCAATGCGTTATCATTAAATACATGCTTGGGTCAAAATATTCTCTTGGAGTAAAGGGTAATCAGTTTTCATATTACTGTAACAGGAAATACCTACCGAGAACCTATAAAATACTTTTAAAAAATCTCACATGAATTAATCGAACTTCCCAACCAGCACAAAATCTAGTTAAATGCCGATCTCATTGCCAACACATGGCTAACAAATTACTTCTAATCCAGACCTAAATGTTTTTCAAAAAAGGTTTTAAAAAATAAAATAAATTGCATTTAAAAAATTAAATAGCCAACTTGATTCTATACTACTTGTTCACTTTCAATAATGCTGATGTGGTAATGTAAAAAAATAACCATATAATTTGATAAGAGAAAATTGAGCCAGCCCATCTTATTAGAGACAAGACAACAAATTTCAAAGTAAAAACATATACACGAGTATTAATATATTTTTCCTCAGGACAGAGTTAGAACTATTCTCAGTATTTATAGCTAAACTATATAGCTGAGAGAAAAGATCTGGTAAAGTGTGCTTTGGGTAAGTAGTATTTTTTCATAATTCCTCTTAGTCTCACTGCAACATATACACCACAAGGCATCCACATTGATTTGTCTGTTTTTCTCTCAGGTTCTTGATTATGAATTACATTAAACATAAAATTTATCTTCTACCTGGTACAGAATCACTAAGGAAAAGGTTCAAAACAAGGTTAATAAACAACTAGTTCCTAAGGTCCAAAATACTTTCATATGGACATTTTTCATTTCTAGGGTGTGCTACCACTAAATAGAAATCAGAAAAGTGTTACCATATTCAACTAAATTAATTAGACTAAGTAGAATAAATCAAGTGTACCTGAAAACAGAATTTAAAAACCAACTTATAATAAAAAAAAATTAGAATTAAAATACCACTTTTGAACAGGTATTCTGATACTCTAATGAATACTGAATCCCATTTTTGACCCAAATGGGGGGAAAAAAATACTGCCAAGATGAAGTGTTATTCCCTAAGTATGTATTTTATCCCTTTCATTATAGTAAAATCGTACACTTAGGATAAAAAGATTAAATACCTGTCCTCCTTCTTAAGGTATGCACTACTTAGATTATTGTTCATAGTAGATAACTGCCTTGAAAACTTTTTAATGCTAGCCAATAAACAAACTTTTGACAGATTATGACTTTTTTCCTATTTTTTAAGTTGTTAGTGTACTAACTTTGTCTCACAGTATTATTCTAAAAGCTAGAATTCAATTCAGCAGTTTCCTATACTCCAGCAAGAAATGTTAGAACACGAGGCACAACAATAAAGATGGCAATTGTTTCAAGCTTATTACACTACAACCTCAAATAGGGTTAAGGAAAACCACATGGTTTTCTGTTTTTAAAGTAATATACTGCTGGTGGTAATAATACTATTATAGACACAATTTAAAATTTTAAGAAATAAAATAAACTCTTTATACTGTGCTTTAGCTATTGCCCAAAGCAGATGGGATATTCCTTGCAAATGGATAGGTGAACTTTATGCTGATAATAGTTTCTTGTAATTGATAGTAAAATATATTCCAAGTGTCTGGTTTTAATATCAGTGCTGGTATGCTTTCATAACTTCCAATATTTATTCATTGAACAATGTGACATTCTTAAACTACCAGGTTTATCCAAAATGTTTATTATCAAAGTAGGGCTTTCAAATAAATATTTTACCTTAAGTAGCTTTTAACCAAAACTAATTCCATGTTATAGGCAGAAATGTAGACTTAATTCTTTTAGATAAATAGCCTATTTAATTTCCATGCTAACAGAAACTTAAAATTATTCCATGACTTGCAATAATGTAGGGGAAGTTAACTCATTTAAAGGCAGTTCTCATGATGTTTAATCTTTCTTACATATATTTTCTAGGCAGATTTTTTTTCTCTATAATAAGTTCTGTCCAAAAGAATAAGTGGTTTATAGAGGAAGCAAATATTGAGTGCTGGTTAAGTTTGCAAGCAGTACCCAATGACTTCAACTACTGCTTCGTCAAACCACGAATTATCTGGTGTGGGTAGGGGCAGTAAAGAAATGAAAGGATTTGGTCATTAAAGTTATTACAATACTTCGGAAAACATTAAACATATGACAAACATTTCTTACAAGGCAGTCGTTGATTAATTAGAATAAGCAGTCAGAAAAATTGTTGCTGAAAACATAGTTATACAATAGTGTTAATCCAACTGAAGATTAGTGCATTAAAAAAAAGTTAAGAAAAAAATCTTTCATGTTCCAGTTCAGCTGCACTTGATTCAAGTGTTGCTCATAGAGGTTTGTGTTGTTATAAATTAAACATGCTGCTGCCTTAGCAGCCAAAGGTACTAGGAAAAAATGTTCATGTCACAGAATAAATAGAGCAGTCTCTTTCGAGCAAAAAGTTATCTCACACCAATTCTGGAGGTCATCCACTCTAGACCTTGGCATAATCTAAAACAAAAGGGAAAAATATTTTCAAAATCAAGAACTTTATAATTAAAAATCGAAAGCATATATATTATTTTTAGTATTACCCAAAACTTGGTACTACAATAATTATTTACACACTTAAGTGACAATCTTCAGGTTAACACTAAAATAAGTAGAAATTTTAAGTGGAAGATTCACTTAAACAAAATGACCTTATTCAGACGAGTAATGTGGGGAAATTGCTTCAGTCTCATCTTGAGGCTACAGCTTCAGCGGTTTTGCCAGCAAGATTGCAAATACTCCTTATCCCCCATCCCTATAGTGCAATCTCTATAGAAAGACAACAGAACTTCATTTTACCCTCCTCAATTCTAACGAATAAAAGCTTATGGCACAATCTTAAAAGTTTAGGTAAAAAAATTCCACGTAGCCACTATATTATAAGCTGATTGTAGTATAAGAAAAACTAAGATGACCAAGTTAATTTGAGCATAATCGAGTCTTGGAAATAAGCCAGATAATCCAAGCATAACACAATGGTATTTGTTTCAAATGTTTGTTGTATAAAAATATGCATCCCCAAAGAAGTCCTGATAATAAAGGAGTTACATATACTCTAGTGGAAAGCTGGTATCTTAGACTTAATTAAACCTTTGCAGAAAATGTGAAATGTCTTTGAAGCTGCTTCTTTAATTCAAGTAACATTATAGTTTTTTCCCAGTTAATAAATGATAAATCAAGAAATGAACAACTAAAACATGTGGATTGTAAAAAGTTAATTCAAAACTTTATTACCTGTTTTTGGTAAAACATTCTGTTGATGTTAAAAGTTACAAGTTTACAAAAACTTGTCAGTAGCTTTGTTAAATTCTAATTGAACAAGAGTAACTGCCTAAAATTATTTTAGTCTTGTAACCCTAAGACACAATATAAAAACCATCTTTAATTAAGGACCAAAGAGAAGCAGATCAAAGAAGAAAACAAATTGGCTTAAAAAAACTGGAAAGAAATTTGAAAGACATCATACCTCCCCTCATGCTGATTAACACTTACCCTTCTCCTGTTAAAGCACAGCAGGACTGAATGTGCCATGGATGATCTTTAATTGAACTAAGGGTGAGGTATTTCGAGATTTCAGCTGCTGTCATACACCCTTTCATGTCCTGTTTATTTGCAAAGATAAGGACTGCAGCCTTCTGTAAATCCTGCAATCAATATGAAATATTTCTAATACCAGAAATGTCAAAATTCAAATGAAACTAATGAAGCAAGAAGGGTAAAATGTACTCTACTGGACAGTTATAGTGAAATCCCTGCACTTTAAAATGATTAGGCACAAATGTTTAAAAGTTTTATGAAACCCAAGTAAATTATCTCAAATAACCATGATTTAATAATTCATCCTAACAAAAACAGATTAACATAAGCTAGATAATTACAAGTTATTTTTCTATTGTTAGACCAAAGCAGTCAGCAAAATAAACGTCAATCTCAAGTACTGTCTTAAAACTATTACAAACAATATTCTAATGGGCAAATATGGTAATATGTTGCCAGATACAGTATATAGAGTTTCTTCAAATTTTAAAGGAGAGTACTAAGGATGAGGGCTGGGCAATACTTGTTAGTCTCTGTATAACGTAAGTTCATTCATTCAAGTTCGCTGCAGCATTGTTTATACTATCAAAATACTAGAAATAACCTCAATGTTCATTAATAAAATAACAGGTCAACTGTGGTACAGTCATGCAGGAATACTATATGGCTGTTAAAATGAATACTCTCAGGTTGTATATACTGACATGAATAAACTACAATGATGTGCTGAACCTCCCCCCCACAACGAAGTTATAGAAAAATATATGACCATTACATAAAGTTTTATAAACATGGCATATAATATTGTGTACATAAAAATATTGATATGACTAATAATCACTATTTTAGGATAGTGGAATTCGTTTTGGAGCCCTTAAGAGAAAAAGTAAGGAAATCAAATTGAAGAAACTGCAAAAGACATTTACCATCTTACATTGAATGGTGGATGCATAAATGTGTTTCATTACAGAATTTTTTTGTATATTTGAAATATTTAGAATTAAGTGATTTCAAATTATTCACTAAAGAATTTTCATTTATGATAAACTCTTAGGATTTTAAACACTTAAGTTTTCCCCTTTCTTGCTGTGATCTATCAGAATTTTTAAGGCATAAATCAGTAGTTTTAACTGGAGGAATCTTTTGAAAACAGTAGACTACAAATTAACATGATGGATTTTTTCAGTTTGAAAAAGTAATGAAAATTTCTGAGTTTAAAACTTCTATTAATTTAGTATGTAAAACTTTGTTCATGATGAAATAACCAACAGCGGAGCACATTAATATTTGTAAAATACCAAACCAGTATACAGATACCTTACACCATGGATTATGTTTGTTTTCAAAATTTACCTCGTGAGCCAACATTCTGTATAATTCTTCTTTTGTAATAGCTAGTCGTTCCCTGTCAATACTATCAACAACAAGAATGATGAACTAGAAGACAATTAAAAAGAAAGAACACTGAATGAGATGTTGAAGTTTTCTGCAAAACCACTTTCAAGTGACAAAAGCACTTTCTTCACATGGCACCCTCATTACTAGAAAACAGGCTACTGCTTTCTAATCATAAAAAGTTTATATTACATGGAATCACATCAAGCAGTAAAATCCCAATGTTAGTAAAAAAATAACCTGTAACATCAAATGCAAACCATGCCCAATTTTATTTTTAAAAAGTAATGTTTGAATATATAAATTTCTGCAATACTAAGATTTAGTTTAAAAATAAAAATTTTAAAAAATCAACAGTAAGTAAAATGACTTGCTAAACCTTAAAAGTAACCTATAATCATTCATTTAGGCAATCAGTAATTACATTTAACACAGTCTGTCTACTAGAAAGAAGTACACAAGCTAGTTTGAAAGAAAAAGAGAAGCATTTTTTAAATAAACTAATGAATAAAAAAGCATTTAAAAAATAACAATATCAACAATAAAAGTGCAAGAAAATGTGCTAAATAGAAACATATACTTAGGTGTTACTGTGCTAAAGGTGAAGCAAATGAATTTAAAGAGGGCAAAGAAAACTGGAAAAAGCTGTTGGTAGCTGTGTATATGAAAAAAAGGTGGGTCTCACACGTTAAAAACAAAAGCATCTTCAGTAAGAAGAATAAGATGTAATGATAAAGCGCTCCCAAACTGAACATCTTATGCAGAAGAAACAATTAAGAAATGAGATTAAATGGTGTTAGGGGTTATAGTACAGAAAGTGGTGCAAAATAAATCAAGACAGGAAGGGTAAAATCAGATCATTCAGATAAACTGGGGAAAGAGACAACTAGGGAAACCTGAATATAAACTGAGAAGGCTTAGAAAGGGATACAAGAAAAAAGAAGGGAAATATGAGATACATGGAAAAGTTAATGGAAATAACTTTACATTAATGAGGGTAAGATGTCAGACATTAGTCACCAACTGTAACTCCTTGTATTATAATGGAAACATTTTGGCTTTTGGATGACTCCCCAATGTAAAGAATTTAAGGAGCAAGATGACAAGGGTGAACAAAGACATCAGGGGAACACTACATAGATATTAAGATCCCTATCTGGAATCTAAGATTGAAAATGCTACGTGCTATATGGGTGTGCTGCAATAAAAGCTGAAGGTTCTTGGAGCAATAGTTATTAAAAGAACATTTCATGCAAATAATGTCAGTAATAATGTATGTTTTTCTGGACCCATGCTAAGTCAATTTTCAGCAATTTCAATACCTACCCTTTTGTAACGCTATAAATGTACATGAATCAGCAAGAATCGATTTTGATATGTTTATCAAAGATATCTGCTCTATTTACACCTGCAGTTAATTGCGAGCTTTGAAAAAGTATCAACAGCTATACTGTTTAAAAAGTCATAATGCCAAAATGTTCTTTCCCTACTTTCCGATATATTTTAGTTTCGGAATGTTATTTTACTATAGATGTGTGTATATATATCTCTACATATATAATGCTAACATATTACTATAATATTTGCTTACTAACATATTCTCCCCAGCAAATTAAAAAAAAAAATTGTTACAACAACTGCTGAATATCTATGACATGCCATTTTGGTATGACCAGCCATACACTGCACTAAAAAGCGCTCAATTTAAGAGGCTTCATTTTAGGAAAAAAAAAGTATCGGTTTGGTATACCTCTTTGTAAAGAAAAATTATAGATGCAATTGTTTATTAAAATTCTCAAAGATAAGCCTCTTTCAACAGCACTACCTGCTAATTTATTTTTTAATCTACCTCTAAGAATACAAACAGAAATAAAGATATTCTAGATTTATTCCCCTGGTTGGCTCTGAACTAGTAAGTGACACAGAACTCTGAGGGACAGCCTGCAAATCCATTTTTTTAAATTAAAATATAACCTCACAGAACTTTTCAATGTTCAATTCATGTTATTCAAAAATCTTGTATTAAATTATGCTTCAAGTATTTTATTTTTCTTCTTATGGGACCTTGAGAAAGATTATGTATAATTTATCCTCAAGTCCAATTTCTCTACCAATGGAGATTCTGCAGTTCTATGGTGAGAGTTAGCTGAGAACCTGCGCGCCAGCAAGCACTCATCTAATAGCAGCTCTCATCACTCTTTCTACTTGTTTCTTGTTTTTTATTTGAAAACCTCAAATTCCTTAACAAAAAAACCCTTATTAAAAGGCAACTGTGAATATGTCTTATGTCATTTTCTGGGTTTAGTCTGGTTTCTTTTTTTATTAAAATTTACTTTAGTAGTAACTTTACCTCTGTGTTTGAGTAATACGTGTTCCAGGATGACCGCAGTGACTCTTGACCACCAATATCCCACATAAGAAAGTGAGTGTTCTTGACAACTATTTCTTCAACATTGCTTCCTATGGTTGGAGATGTATGAACCACTTCATTCATTAAGCTGTTGAAAGACAGACACCATAAATATTCTTCTGTGAAGCTTGAGAACCTGAAGCAAGTTTTAAATCTACATTTAACAGGAATCAATCTTCCTTATTTGCGCCAATGATGGTAATCATATCATCAAAAATAGAATCTCACAGAACATTTGTACAAATATCTAGACAAAGAACAACTCCTGAAGCAAAAATTTTTTTTTGTTCTTTTAATGGGATAAACTACAGACTTGATCTGGATAAAAGGGAACTCTATGGTATAAGCTTGCATTTCTGTGGCCAAAATTTTAATAACACCCAACCCTGTTATCAGTTACAGCTGAAACAATGCTCCACCCTGGAAGAGTAAGTTTCTAGGTGACTGTGACATTGATACTTACAAAGTAGCAACCATGAAATAGCAGGCCATCTATAATTTTGAAGACTGTCTATGTAAGAAAATTGAGACTTAGCTCAGCCGTAAAAATTAGTTCAGGCCTATTAACCTAAACTATAGTCTTAAAAAGATAATGCTATGGAGCAAACAAAAATTTTAATTAAAATTAATTCTAAATGTATTTAGTACACTGGTGCTCATATCACACATATTATCATAATCATTTGTTAACTACATTTGTTAATATAAATTATTAATTTATGCAGTAAATAAATATTTGCCTATATAACATGCCAGTAGTGTGCTGAAAGAAGCTTGAAATCTCTTTTGGATATTATATATATTTTTGAAGCCATGTACAAAATTATTTCAACAACAGTGACAGATTTCTGAAATGTTTTTATTTGATGTTTAAAGACATTAAGGTACATAATGGCCAACGACTGTTTTAAAAAGAATAACAAGTAGCTACTCAGCTCTGAAACAACAGCCATAATAACTTAGCAGCTTTTAGCAAAGTAGCTGAAAAATATGTTAAGTACTGCTTAAGGGAAGAATTTCTGGAGAGCTGTCAACTGGTAGACTTAGGATGAGGTAAATAGACATAGGAGCCACACAATGTGCACTGAATTTTTTATAACTACTTGCTTATAAAATGCTTGGGACACAGAACCATGTTCATTGCTTAACAAGGATCATTTCGTTGGCAGTAAAAGGATAATGAGATGTACTTTGACAAGTGGACTGATGGGCTGTTAAAATTTCCTTAAAGTATAAATGTATTTCTCTGAAAGTCTCAAGCTTCTCCCTGTTGCAAGCTACTAAAGCAAAATATTCAAGGGAGATCTTAATTTCTTTTGATTTGAGAAGTCTGGCTATGTAAAACAATTTCAGATCTATTCGGAGTAGCTACAGCTTCATAGAGATAACAACCTATTTACAGGAACCTCAGTGTGATAATAACTAAGTGAAATGCACTTTCCTCAGCCTAGCACTACAATATGCGTTTTATTTATTCTAGTTTAATATTAATTCTTTCTTTCAATGCTAGAAAGTGTGTGAAGGCTTTAACAAACACAGAGCAGTTTACCTTATTTACTTCTGCATACATTTTGTGTTTGCTAAAATATAAAACCATATGTTCAAGTTTTTCCATTATAATACCTTATTCTTATTAATTATACAAATTTAGTTCCAATAACTAAAATAATGAAAACTATTTAACACCTATACTTACAATTGATACAGAATGGTGGTTTTCCCTGCATTATCCAGTCCCACTATAATCACTTTGTGTTCTATTAAAAAAAGAAAAAGCAAACCATTAACATTTAACATGGCTACATATTACCATTATATGCTTCCAACAATGATTATTAGTTAGCTCTCTAATGAGAATCATTCACTGGATACTCATTAGTAGATAGTTAAAATAAAGACAAAAAGAGAACTTTATAATGTCAAGACTACCTGCCTTAAGTGATGCAATCTATTAATGATATTCTTTTTCTAGCTTTCCTACAAAGCAATGTGGGAGATAGAGGGAAGGACACAAGAACTTGGTGACTTAAACTGTGTTGGGGGGGAAACTCAAATACTAGTGTTGACAAGACATTATAACTTAAAATGTAAGTTTTGTTTAAAAGTGTTTGATACACCTGCTTGACGCTTGACCTCTCTACTAATCAAATTAGCTTTTTCTCAAGTTGTTTTTACACCTGGAAGTTTTCCCACCTTCCTGTACCAAGATTTTTTCCCCTTTCATTAATAAACCAATTTAAAACATGAATCTAAAAAGTTTCCCATAGCTAATAAGACATATACTCTCAGCCAGTTTTTCACTACTTCCATTGATTTGCAAATAAACAAGCAATTACCTAATCTTTAACAGTCTTTCTTTTTTCCCAATTTGGATTTTACAACTCTTTTGAGCAGATACTGTTTCAGCATTTTGTACAGCAAAAGCCTCTTCCTTCCCTCCTGGTGCCATGCACTGAACAGTCACTTCTTTCGCAAGCAGTTTTTAAGGGCCGTCTAATTATTCTGTTAAGTGATACATATTTTGAAACCTCCTTTGAACACAGAAGAGAACGCTCCATATACCATCTTTTCTAGAGTTCAATCTATACAGAATATATTAAAGATTGCTCTTCCCCAGGGCAGAATGCTTCCGAAACTACCAGTGAACATCAATGGGGTACTTCAATCTAAGGCAGCTGCCATTAGAACCACAACACAACTGATCTGCAGCCAATGATCTGACGCAGTTCATATCAGAACGTTGCTCTTCTTGTTAACCTTTCATGAATGTCAAAACTCTCATTATATGGCTAATCAAATATCAGGTCATATTTCCCCTCTAAAATGTTAACACTGCATCAGTCAAAAAGAGGGGCCATAATTTACAGACAAGTTCTTCGGTAACAAACCCCATCTTTGTAGCTTCTAATGACCCACATTCCACAGGCACATAATATTGCAGGACAAATGACATGGTCCTCTGGAAGAGCTATTATCACTACAGCAGAAGCTGTTTTGTACAACAAAACAAAACTTGTTTGCTTATTAACTTGCGACAATTCTCCTTTTCTAACTCTTTTGGTTCACAGACCCTAATTTCTAGTGGAGCCAACTTTGAAGTGTTGCTGTCCCCCCCCCCCCGCCCCCCACAGTTCAAGAGCTAGAGCATTCTTATCAATAAAACAACAATCACACCATCTGGCTGTGATTCTAAATTTTGGTGACAGCTGGAAACTACCTGCCGAGCATCAGGCCAGTGGGGTCCCTGAAGACATGAGAAGTAAGCCTAGTCTACAGGTAAGCTAAACATGGATGCAGATACTCCTGCTGGGAGAAGGGAACGGAGGAAGAGAACCAAATAATTTATTGTTCGGGCAACTGCAGTGACTAACCAGAGCCATTTGTAAATAGTCCTGCTCCTTGCATCACACTGCGGATTATGTTGATGATCAGAGTATTGAATGCCTGTGATAGCAAAATCATAAATAATACATTATTTTAAAAGATGGGTTCCCAATTTGAACTAAGTCAGGGGTGACAAAGCCTCAAAGTGGGTAAAGTATGAATTTCACTTAAGTTTCTAATCTTTGACTGAATTAAGATATTTTTTTCAGATTCCTTTTTTCCCTCAGTTTAATTATAGTTTAACCACTAGGGAATCCTAGCAGTTAAGACAAAACATCCAACTTCAGTTCTCTCTTATGATGATAGTAGAGATACCTATCCCTGAAGCAAACTGAGGCCCATCTTTTGATGTCAAAATTATCATTAACAACCTGACTCTATATAACGAAACACCAACAACAAAACAGAAACAGCTAAATGCTTTTAAGTCCATAGAATAACCAAGGGTTTATTTTAATCTTTTCTTTGTAAAATCTCTTTAACGTTATCTATACAGTAAGAGTGAAATCAAGTTCAATGAGCATTTACTAAAAAAAAAAAGTACAAAGTAAAAGCTGTTTGTATTCTGTTGCATAACTGTAATCCTTCCTTCAAATGCCTCTGCTGTTCTTAGCTGCTACTTGAGTCTGTCAATGACCAAAGATGTCAGTTCATGAATGTTAGGAAAGTTAGTAAATATGTGCACTCTCCTTCTTGTAAGCAGAAAATAGAATGTGTTGATTTAAATGTCCACAAGTGGTATCTAGATTAATAAAATATAAAGTTACTTAAAGATATTACTGAATCATAGTGGCCTATCAAGTATTCACAACAATACATACCAAAAGCGTAACTACTATCATGTAGTGGTATCTGATGTTGCTTGAAGTTAAAAATAGGCCCTCATGCTTGAAACTCGTAACTTAGTGGTGCTTGTTCTGCACTCCTGTCCTTCTGGTTGGGCATAGTCAACAGTCCATACATAGATCTTATGTGTTGATATAAAAGATTAACTAAACTATGTAACTGTCAGTGATTTCCTGGAGAGTAGCCTTCATAAAAATAATTTTATTTACCTGTCATAGTTAACTAAAGCAGATATAGAAAGATGCTTCTAAATTTGTCCTATTTGTATTACCCAACAAAAATTTTTGTTTATATAATAAGTTCTTAAAAACTCTTAAAGTATATCAGTTATGGTACAAGTCAGTCACAACTAAGGTGAGAAAGAATCTATCCCAAAGGTCAAATTTCAAAATCAGCCGCCAGTCAGATAAACATTAGACGTTTAACATCATTTTTACTTATAGAGCAGGGAGAAGAGATTTCCATTTCACTAGAATTGAAATAAGTTGTGAGGAGAAAATTATACAACTGTATACTTTTACAACTGCAACTGATCCTCAACATGTATATAAAAGCGATAGATAAACTTCTAACTCCAAATAACCACTCTCCAAGAAAATGAAATTATTTAGCCGATAGACTGAAACACTGTCAATTCTCAGTTAACTTTAAATAGGACAAACTATAACATGGACAATACTAAATTCTTTATTTAGAATAAGTTGTGCAAATATAATTATAGAAAATTTACCTTTTAAAAAAATAGCATTATTAAAATCAGTGTTGTCACACAGTATAAGCTGCCCATGCTTAGGGACAAGAATGTGCGTGTTGGGGATGGGGTATGTACAATTTAAAAACCTTTGTGGATAGCCAAATAATTTTAGGTTGAGACAAGACATTATCCTAAGTATCAAAGTTACGATGAACCCAAAATGTTGTAAAACCCTGTCTGCACTCTATGAGACAGGCAGTCACCTTGGGCATCACTTTCACCAGCAGTCTCTACCAGGAGACCAGAGTGCGCTCTCCCCACAGCAAAGGTCTGAGGAAAGAGTACTTCCAATGTTACTAATCTATGCATCCCCGGAGCCTGACAGAAGGCATGTTTGTTTATACTAAATTAAGGAGAATGTCCAATCTCAGAGCTTTTGTTTAATTTTGATCAAGTGTTTGCACAGGAGTTTCTCTGCAGTCTTGCCTACAGTGGTTGTTCCTTTGGATCTGCCAGAAAGCTGCCTCATGGTTTTTTGTAAGAGGGGCATAAAGATAAAGAATAGATAGAATGAGGCTTCAAAATTAGTAACAGCATTTGCTTGTAGACAAATACAGATAAAATATGGCTAGCAAGAAAAACGACTGAAGAAAGTTTCTCCCTTAACCTAATTAAAAAGTTTTTTTACTAAATTCAATTTGTAGTTTTAATAGAGACATCAGCACCACCCCCTTGTCAAAATATTGTAGACTAACACAAGAGAAGAAAAGTATTAGAGAAGCACTAAATATGGACAGTGTTAATACATTGTGAAATACCGCGTTCACATTTATTTTATATTGTTAAAGTGGGATAAAGTGAAGTTTTGCAAACAGTGCCTGTAAACAACTCTATAATTAAACAAACAAAAATGCCCTAAGTCACCCGATTTGGTAAGTTAGCAAATTTGGGATATTGCATATAGTGAAAATAAGTCTGAATTATCGCAAGGGCTAGGTAGTAAAATTTTCAGAGGATGTGATGTCACAATCTGGGACCTGAGGCCTAAGACCCCGAGGAAGTCTAGCTCTTGCTGGTGGCTTAGTTGGTTAGAGAATCATCCCACAACCTTTTCGCTTCAATCCCAGCAGGGGTAGATACTCCAGGCAACAGATCACTCTCTCTCCCCGCTCTCCCCTTCTCTTTCTTTAAAATCAATAAGCATGTCCTCAGGTGAGGACTTAAAAAAAGTCTAGCTCTCCTGGGGGGAGAAAAGCCATAAAAAAAACTGCATCCTATACCATACTGATTATCAAAATCATAAAATATAGCTTGGGACAAATGGCAGATCTTGAGATTTTTCCTTCTCTTCTACCTCTTGAGCAAAAAAAATGCCACCTATGAGAAACTCAGTTCTCCAAAAAAAAACCCCAAAACTACTAACCTGGGCCACCTTGATTATTTTATAGAAAAGGAAATAGAGATCCTATGAAGTTAAGTAATTGATTTTAGTAAACATAGGTAAAAGCTAACATTTATTTCCCTGCTCCTTTAGCTCTAAAATATTATCTTCCCTCCCCAATCCCATCTCATTACCCATATTCCTTCCTGGATACCAAAATTTTGTTACCAGCAACTACAAGGTGAATCTGATGATTCAACAATTCAACATTTATTGAGTTCATTACATACATCACTGTAATGTCTATAATTAAGACTAATAAGACAAGGGCTCTGCCCTCAAAAATCTAAAAAGTCAGGTGTGTAAACAAGCACTTACAATATAGTATCACTAGTACAAAGCAACAGATAGAAGTATCATATGACAATATTCTCCTATCCAAGTACTGACCA